CCATTTTATATGATTTCCATCGCGTGTTCATTAGGAACATGAATATTGGCACAAAACGCACGTTACCAAATTAGTAAGGATCCTGGGCTTAATGAGGATTACAGTGCCGTTGGCTTTTCGCGAGGAACTCAATTTTTGCAAGCAACTCTTCATTTACACTAAGATTTCAAAGCAGATACACATTCTATCTACTTGGCATTTTTCCATACGACTTGACAGTTTGACATAAAATGCTTAGCTACCCTAGTTTGAGACGTGTGCTGCTTGGCCCTATGAAATGATTGCTCAATGACTCAAAGAGAGCTGTCACGCCTAGATGTCCTAAAATCCGCCGATGAAAACATTTTATATGAAGTAAGACTGTGTAGAATGCATGCCTTAACTTAGGTGCCGATAGGTTTTGTTTCTTATAAGGTTTGATTTTTTAAATCTTATTTTTGTATGACCCGTCTTCACGTCTGCCGTGCGGATCCCAGCACTTCTCACATTCTATTCGTTTTCTCTCATCCATTATCCACGAAGATCTTTCAACTTTACATGTGGCTTCGGCTACTGCTTGAGGATTTTGAGTTCATCTTTAATGTCGTAGAATACTGACCGATCATCTCTCTGGAGTCCGGAGATAGCCGAGTTGAAGCGTTCGCAATCGGATTGCAGAGAGTGACTTTTTCTCGGATAAGTCCGGTACCAATTTCCCTACCCCGGAGGGATGAAAGGCTTGATTGGTCCGCGGCGGAGTCGAACTAGCACCTTGTCCGTGATGATCGACATCACCACCACTGTGCTATCCTTCCCATAAAGGTTGGATTAAAGCTTGAATCAAAAGAAAGCATCTAGGATTAAAGGTTGTATAACTCGAAAAACCGACTTTCTATAAAACTCGGCACAGATAGTTGATATATTTATTTATGCGATCTTATAAGCTCATCTTCCTAGGCTGAGGCGAGGTTGGTACAGATCTTCGTTGTCGTTGTCGTTGTTTTTGATGTTATTGATCGATGGCTGACGTTTCGGCGACTTCGCCTTCCTCAGAGCCTGGACGTATTTTATGTTAGAATACTTTTTATTATTTGGTGGAAAAGAAGGTTAAAGTATTAATGAAGATCAAACTTTCAAATAGACGCCATATTGAGAACAGAAAGGCCACTCACCGTGATGTTACGTGCGGGACTCCAACCTCGCGTCAGCTTAAGAAGATCAGTTTATAAGATCACATAAATGAATAAGGGTTATATATTTCACATAGATATAGAGGCCACTGCGAACTCACCAGGACGATGGTCCGGGAAAGATTTATTGTCGTAGTATCAACAAATACACGTAAATTGAACCGTAGGGCAACTTCATTTTCGTTCTTGAATGAGGGTTCTCTAGCACACTTTCCATAAGTGTTTTTCTCGTACGAAAGTTTTGTCACGGCGACGATTTTCTTCTAGCATTATTTGAGCGCAGCACATTCCGTGAACTGCTAATTATTCGCACCTGAGAGTACAAAGATGCTTCACGAGAGCTACAAAAACGTCAGCCGATCGTTTAAAGGGTTTTCCTAGAAGATACATGCATCTAGGACAACCATTCAACATCTGTTTTTGTTCATCAGTCATATCTTCTTAATATTACATGATCACCCTCTCTTCATTTCGCTCTTTGTTGTATTTGTTTCTCTGGAAGATCATGAAGGTTTCCAAGATAGGAAATTCGCATTCAAGCTAGCTCTTGCGTGTGTCGGATATTGTTCTGAAAGCATCGTTTAAACACTCTGCTAATGGTGCGCGAAGTTCTCCACTTGTTGAATGAAGTGTAAACCCGCCTTTGGTTCTTTATAGATCGCCGGTAGGACCGCTGAAACGAACGTCGGCGGCTTATCTAAGAACCCGAATCTGTTCTCTCTGCGTAATTCCTCCTTCATACTGTACCCCGCGTTCTTCCTTGAAAGCCAAAGGTAAACGTAGGTGGTGCTTTGTGAAATTAGAAAACTATATGGTTCGAGTTCCCAGGATCAACTTTCTGTTAATCTTGGAAATGGATTATTATAAATGTGTTGTTTCCTTGTTCAGCAATCGCATGGATCGCTTGGTTGTTATACAGGATACATTTACTTCCATGCAAAAAACACATACAACACAGCAGTAACCGACGTTTCGGCAGTACTGCCGCCTTAAGAACCTGAAGGGTATATTGATACGCAACTTACTATGCCAAACGCTTCAATAACACATCGAGAAAGAAAAAAAAATCTGTATGATAATCATATGACCAACAGCTTCCCGAAAAACCCGCCGTTTTCTACATCTGAGGAAGAAACTGGGGAAGAAAAGAATAGCCGATTAGAGTCGCATATGGTTGATGACTGCACCACCCCACATCACAAGTCGATGCGAAGATACAGGGTCAGACGGCGTGTGACCTCTGTGGACCGCTCCCTGCTATTCATTTTAAAGTTCTTCGCAGTCATCCAAAAAACTTGAAGTTTGCGTGTTGGTGTTTGGGGATCCTGTGCGAGGATAGTGACTTTTATATCACCTTCGCTATGCTTTTGTATTCAATGCGTTCGATATATGGTTCGAGTTGCTCACCTTTCCACCATGGGACCGTTGTGAAATGGACTTTCTTGCTATTTATGTGCAGTATAATACTTCTTTTCCGCTGCGTTGAGCCCGTTGATCATCGTTTCTACTCTGAAGATTCTCGAAAAGGTGGCGATGTCGTAACAAAATGGATATTTTCTTTATGACTGAGCTGACATGAGGTTTGTATAAAAAATTTTTATTCGGCTAACGTTTCGGGGCCTTCACCTTACTCAGAGCCGTGTTAGTCGGAATTGAAGCTCCCAAGCCGGTGGTTGTTATGAAGTAAAAAGAAGATTGGACAGAAATTTTCCATGGACGAATGTCGTCTCGTTCCAGTCAGCAACTTCATTATCCACCACAGTTCCGCTATAAAGAGCTTTGGCAAGACAGTGTCCTCTTACTGCTATTTGCTAGCGTTCGTGTAAAGAAGGGTTTCAGTGGTCAACGAGCGTTTATAGAATTGCATTCGTTTCGACACTGTCGAAAGCTTTTTTCGTGATCAATAAAGCTTAGCACCAGGCAGGTGATGCTCCCACCAAACTTCTGTGACCCTTGCTTGATACGTCTCGGATGTAGCACATGCAGCAGAATCCTGGTCGAAATTTGCTCCTTCAGTAGAATGTTCTACAATGTCTTTGATATGCGTAAAAGAACGGTAGAGTGGGCTCAAACAGAATGCAAGCGCGTTTTTGGGAGATCACCTAAAATATAGGAGGACGTGTTTGTGGCTAACGAAAACCATCTGCATTTGCAGATGGAGACCATTTAAGGAATTCGGAATAGACTTCGTGAACATCGCATTTTCGAAACAAGCCACCATCATCGACGGCAACTTCGTGGGAAAAAATAGGTGGAAATTGTGTCCAGTACACTAAACAAGCATATCAGACGCTTATTACAAAGAATTCTTCAATCACCCTCATAAAATAACCGTGCGCGCCATGTTCTACTGGTCTGGGAGGTTCTTCTTCCAAAGGCAAGATGCCACGTGGGTTGGGTTACCATTCTCATTTCTATCTTCTGTTCTGAATTTTCCTATCGCATATTTATTTTCGTTTACCTTTCATTATTTAACTTTGAAATTTCAACAACGAATTTGTAGAATGAAGTTTCCTTGTGCGTTATTTTCTGCAACTCAATGCCGTGTCCGTTTGGTTCTCATCTGCTAGGCAAGTTGGTAAGCAGCAGTCGATGATACTGACCTTCCATTGAGAAGATCGGTGTGTGACAAAATTTCCAGTATTGTAGGTGCGGAATAAATAGCAGTCGCTATGAGGTGTAGTGAAGGTCTCCGTTTGGTACGATTCCAGTGCCGTTCCGTTGGCTTTCTTAAGTGCACAAATCTTCTTCTTTTGTTAACGCTTGTATTTCAAGAAACAATTTGATTGAGCAGCAAAGACGTGTTCATCAACGGGAGTTCTTTACAATAATATGACTTGGTTATTAATGCTGAAGATAAACCGAAGTCCGTTTCGGAGATTTGATCATCTTTCACTGGATGTCTCACCAACGAACGTTATAGGTCCTAATGTCCAGCATACTGGAGCTGGCTCATTGATGACCGAGTTATTTATGATTACCTGCAGTTCCGAAGTATGCGCAGCAGAAACTTTTCCGAGGCCGTTATCACGTGGTATCGTTGGCCCATGTAAATCAGATGGTACGTTTCCACTACTTGATATCAGGACAATGGTGATTTTTGGTAACTGTTTATCTATTAGCTGAGCTCCGAGATGAAAAATCCTGAACTCTTCTAGTTAAGAGACCCTGCTTGGGGGATGAACTCCACTGTGCATTGTAATTCTACACACAGTGTGCTAGAGAAGTTTCGATATTAACATAGTCTGTTACATGATGGAAGCGAAGTCATTAGAAGCAGTAATGTAATTGTGAAGTCTCAATATATATGAATGGAAGGAGATAGCATCGTGGTTCGCTGGAAGATTTTGTTCACTACCATCTGATGTGATGACTTTGATAACAAAGAGTGTAAGAACGTCGTGGTTCCCAGGAAGATTTTGCTTGCTAGCCATGTGATGGGATGGCTGTGATAATGAGGAATGTTAGTTTTCTATTTCTATTTCTGATTTTATGCATGAATGAATCTTGGTTAATGAATCTCGAGACAACTTTTTTTTCGAAGAAAATATGCCAAAAGATTGCAGCTTACTCTGAGTGGTTTAGTTGTGTCACAGAATGGAATGTCGTTGACTTCTCGTTCTCATGTGATAGCGTCCACTTATCAGTTCACTTGAGGTAGCTGATACCACCGCCACCTAACACGGTTATTAGAAGCATTGCCCCTCGTTCGTCATTTTTTGCTAACACATTTAAGCTTAGATATTAATGCAATTTTTGATTTGTGCATGTCATATTTTTCTCCTTACAAGTATTACGGAAAAAATTTGTGTTTAAGGGCTATCGTTCAGCATGAGAGTACTACTTCTACTTGTCGTCTCTGTAGCTGTCGTATCATGCCTTCGATTTGCTCACCGCAGCCAGGCCCGTCTTCATAGCCGTCCGAAGGCGACGACACTGAAAGCAGTGCCGGTGGTGCTGTGGCACGGAATGGGTGGGTCTTAATTGGATTTATGAAATCCAATATGGAATGCTCAGTTAAAGTAAGTAGAAAATCACTCGAAATTTTGAAAATTCCTGTTGCTATTCGGAAGAGTTCTTTGTACTATTCTGTTTTGTTGCAGGTATAGTTCAGTTTATTCACTTGTACTACATTATTTCCTGTGATCATAAAGCTACTCAAACAGAGCCCTAGCAGTTTCCGTACGTTCTTGTCGTGTGCAAAAGCTGCTCAGTGAGCTGTGGTTTTCCGATGTAACGTCGTATTTTTCTCATATACCACTCGTGAAATAGTCCGACCACTTTATAGGAGGTATACAAGTCATGAGATTGATGTTGTCAGCTACAATGGAACTCACTCATTAGGAGATCTTGCACATCGGTTTTTATTTTTCGACAAGTTATGTGTGATACTCGAACTTTTGTAACTTCAGTACAAGTACAGCTTTAAAAAAGACATATATAGCTTAACGGCTGGAGATACTCTGCAATATACAAAAGATCCGTGATTCGGTCCAATGCATCATTCTAAGATGGACAATACGACGAAAGACTTCTCTGGTAGGGTAGCATTGCATTGCTTGATGGATGTAATTACTCCACGTCATTGTATGGGCTAAAAATGTATTCAATCACCTCTGTGATGCTAAGAATAGACCCGAATGCATAGTGCATACTTAAAAGGTTTTTCAACACCGTACCCTTTACGCTTTATTGAAGTACCCTCACCGTGTCGCGCATCTTATACATTGTATGTTTAGTATCGTTATGAAAACGGATGTTCAGGTGACAGTTGCTGTAACCCGTTATCCATGGGAAGCATCAAAGCTCTTATCGAAATGAATGTCGAAGGGGTATACGTGAAAAGCCTGATGTTCGGTGGAAATGTAGCATCGGTATGTCAATCCTTAAGGGATTTTTCACTCAAGTTTTTGCTTAGATAATGATATGATTATAATGAATCATACCAAGGGATTGCTCAAAAGTTAAAAGAAATAAAACCGAAAACACGTTAGCTGTTATGCCTTGTAGAAGTAGACTTCCTATTAGTGTTCTGTTCACTTAATTTTAGTGATTAGATCGCTCACTAAGAAGGTGGTCTTGATTTGATTCCTCAAATTCTGTGTGTCAATGAAGAGTGGTCTCGGTAGAAAGCTGTGGAGCTTGTCCCCATGGTGACGTCCCAAAATGTGGGAATTTTTCTGCAATCCACTGTAGAGTGACTATGGCGACGACCTTAGAATGTCTTAGCCTGACTTCCTCGAGGCATCAGAAGAGGAAAATTTTGCCCAGTCATTATATTATCGATAAAGTAGAAATTGTACCACAGGTCCGCACTATTTTTTGTGATGACAGGTCAATCAATTGCTTAGGTAAGTAAAAAGTAAACAAGGAATAGAAGGCTAAATGAACTCCGTTTTTTCCATAGGATATCGAGCTCGGTTTTATGGCAAACGTAAACGAATTGGTGAAAAATGCATGTGAACAGATCCGCAACGATACTCGGCTTCAATTTGGTTATAATGCTGTTGGCTTCTCTCAGGGAGGACAATTTCTGTGAGCAACTCCTTTTTTATACTAAAAATCCTCAGACGTATCCACACTTCATCTGCTTTACGCGACACTGACAGTTTGATCCAAAATCCTCAACCCGGTTTCAAACGTGTGTTGCTTAGTCCTATGAGAAGACTGTTTAGTGATTTCAGGAGAGCTGTCGCAGAAAGATGTCCTAATCCACCAATGAAAAATCTTGTATCAGGTATGATAAGTTCTTGGCCGAAAATGTAGAATGCTTATTAATTTAAACCTATCTCTTTCGGCAATGAGGACGAGATTCAAGTGCGGAGAGCAACAAACCTTTACTAGTAAGAACTGTTTGGCTGTTTGAAACGTTAAAATATTTTGGCGCAGAGCTGAAACATTTCGATCTATTTTGCACCGACAGTTGTCGTCGTTGCCATTTCACGGCGGTTTTTGTAATCCTGCAGCTGAGACGAAAAAAACCTTATGTAGTTAAGACTTCTTACTAATTTTTCCAAGGAAAAGTCGATTTCGTTAACTATTTGGGATGACTGCATCTGTACATAACCATTTGCCGTTGAGTATTTCATTGCTGAACGCTAAGCCTTTACAATCACGAAATAAAACTGCGAAAAAGTGACGAAATGAAACAAGAAATAACTTTGCGTTCTAATCGGAAGCGATTTATTAAGCGATAGGGTCTTCACAACTTTTTTAGGTCTCTCTTCTTTGATGTTCACAGATTTTATCTTGATTTTGACGATAGTACTTGAACTTACTTGATACTTGAACGGCCCGTCCTCACTAGTTGTGCGGGCCCCAGCATAATCACCAGTTTTCGGAGATTTGCTGGTTTAGCCATTGTGGTTCCCTGGAATCCTGAGGACAGCCCGGCCAAAGTCTGTCCCAGGTCTTCACTACCACAGGTAGTTGCAGCCCTTGTGGATCAGAGGGAGATTTGCCACTATGCAACTTTAATACCAGAACGATGGTGGATCCTGGTATTGGTTTACTTCTAACTAGACTTCTTGATGGAAACGCCGGACTCCTTCTCAGCTTGCGATACCCTGTTAGGGAATGAATCTCCCTCTGCACATCGCAGTTTGGCACCCAGGAACACCTTCCAGCCACGATGAGGCGGTAAACCGTCGGGAGTGATCCTGACAATAGTAGATGACCAATTTAAGCGGCAAGTTTCCTGTTTGAAAAACACTTTGGGTCGAGGTCCAGTCTATCGATCAGTGCCATCAGCAATCACCCGTCAACGGGTTTAATTTGAGCAGCCCAAATCGGCATTGAACCCAGTTAAGGTAAGGCTGTAGTTGAAATCACGATGTTAACTTTTTATTTGCTGCCTACTACAATTTCGCATAGTACCTTGCCATAAAAAATTGTAGTAGGAAGCAAATAAAAAGTTAGCAGTGCCTTCAACTATAACCCCAGCTTAAGTGCCGATTTAGGCTGCTCAGATCAATCTCGTTGACGGGTGATTGCTGACGGCATTGATCGACAGAAAACTAGTTGAGAGATAGGCGAAACGAAGGATAAGCATGGTGTGGTAGTGAATGCGTTAGCCCTCGGAAAGAGTATTAGCGCGTACGTTCCCCAACGCAGACACCTGCGGTCCGGAGTTTTGCAAATTTCTCAGCATCGTTGTGGTTGTATTTCGCATAATACCTTGCCATAAGAAAATATGGTGGGCAGCAAATAAAAACTTGATTAATCAAAATAAAAACTATTTAAGTCTACAAATTTTCCCAAACGAGAAACAAACTTATGTATTACAGTTGCATAAAATTCTGGAGTTCTGGAAGCGACGAATTCATCGAAGGCATCTTTTGTGTCATCGTGCTTGGTGAAGTACGCCTCGCGCAGGAAGTTGCCAAGGTGCCTGAAGAAGTGATAATCGGTAGGCGAGAGGTCTGGTGAATATCGCGAATGAGGCAGAGTTTCGTAGCCCAACTCGTTCATCTTCTGCAGTGCAGGTTCCACAACGTGAGGCTGGGCGTTGTCATGGAGAAGGATTGGTCCTTTTCTGTTGACTAATGCCGATCGTTGCTGTTGAAGTTTACGGTGCATTTCGTCGATTTGTTTGCAATACTTCTTTGCCGTAATCCTTCCGCCCGCATTCAAAAAGCTGTGATGAATCAGCGCGGCTACAAACCACCAAAAAGTCACAGTAACCTTTTTTGGCGCGGTTTCGGATTTGGGACATGCTGTGGAGTCTGATCCTAGTCCAACCATTGAGCTGAGCAGGATGTCGGATTCCTTTTCCTCTCTCACGTCACAAGTCGATCAAGAAAACGGTCGTTTTTTTTTGCGTGGAATAAGAGCAGACGACGCTTCAAAACGGCGAATTTTTTGACACTATCGTTTAATCCGTACGGCACCCACTTGTCTTGAGTTTTTTTTTGTCTTCCCTATCTATGCGATTCAAGTGAATGAAAATTGCTCTTGTGCTTACGCGCCAAGCTGTTCTTCAAGATCTCGAACAGACACCTGCGTGTTTGCTTCCACTAGTGCTTTCGATTCGTCGTCGTCAAGTCCATTGGGACGTCAGCGGCGTTCCTTATTTTCGAGGTCGAAGTCACCAGATCGGAACTTCCAGAACCATGTTCGCACTGTTGATTTACCAACGCTACCTTCACACCAAACTTCTTTAATTTTTCGAGCCGCCTGTGCTGCACTGCGACCGAGTTTGAACTTATAAAAGAAAATTTGACGAAAATTTCTTTTTGACGTCTAAAATTGCAAAGGTCCAAATTGGTAAAAAATCAAGCTTTGGCAAAATATGAAAACGTGGTTAGAAAGAGCAGAAAATCAGCTTTATAACGTATATAATATTGCGAGGTGCAAAGAATACTTTTTTTGGTAAAATCAATCAAAACAATGAATATTTTAAGACGCTTATTTATTTCTCAGCTCAACAGGAAAACCACGAGACCTAAATTAAAGTCGCAGTAGAAACAAATCAGTTTGTTTATCCACTCACCGCCTTTTGCGAGTCTTGCACTGAGCCTTCACGTTCAGACGAACCTTGCTGAGTTCAAATGGTTGGGTTATGTACCCCTTTCGCGTTAAAGAATCGGTCTGAGACATCATGTCGGACCGCGCCTGGTAACAAAAATTTTGACTATTGTCCACACGAATTTCAGGAATTATTCCTTCTGCTTTCTTTCTGTGCAAACGCTCGTGGGTTCACGAAACATGTTTCTCACCTGAGGGGTAGAGGAAAGGCAATGGACCAGTATGTTTATGTCACCTGGCTTTCCGTATCATTTCGTGATATAGCCGTTCTCGGATTTGGTTAACTGGAACGCTCAAAAATGGAAGCCAAGTTTCTTTCCGTTTCTTTCGGGTTAACTTTGTACGTTTTGACTGTTCGTTCAATAATTCAAAACATTTCTGCATATCATCTTCTGTGGAACAGATGACAAAACAACCACTTTGTATGTCTATAGTGTAGTAATGGCCAGAGATCGATTATTGGAGCTTATTTTATATATAAACCACCAGAATTATTCGGATGACATGAATTCCCAACAACATTTTGCCTGCTCAAGAACGAAACACCTGCTTAATGAACAGTGTCGAGGCAAACAGAAAGTTGGTTTTGGTGAATGCGTTGATAGTAATAATATTGGCATCGTTAACAACGGCTGTAAATGCCACAGTGGTGATTTTAATGACATTGGCGGTAGTATTGAATATTAATTTCGACGCTAGTTTTTTCAAGGTATAACATTTGTCGCGTTTCAGTAGGTGGCCAGCATCAAGGAATCTTTGGCATACCGTACTGTTTGGGCGACACTTGGCTGTGCAACACAATTAGAAAACTCCTCGACATTGGCGCCTATAAGGAGTTCGTTCAAAAAAGGTCGATTTGTGAGCATTCTTTTTTCAGGCCTTTCACCGGCGTTTTTAAGTATTAACAACTTAATTCTGGCCTATGTCAGTTGTGCCCATTTTCTTAACTATCTAACTAATGATTTTAATGTTTTCATACATTTGTTTTTTCATGGATCCCTTAAAAGTTATGGTTATGCACAACCATTTGGTTGACAGCGAATGTGTTGAACCTGAGCTGAGATCCATTTTAGACCCATAAGGCACCGGTTTCTGTCAGTAAGCCTATGATCGCTCAGCAAAGTTATCTATGAACTGAGAATATAGGCTTGACGGCTCTGTGGAAGATAATGTAGTGCTGCAGCCAACCAAATACGTTAGAAACCAAAATGCATTCAATGCTTATCTCCTCAACGGTTTGACGATTCAGTTCGTTTTCTGTTGTTGTACTTCCCGATTCTGGATCTATAAATTCGTTGTTGGAAACTTCAGTACTAGATTAAAAACGGCCAACGAAAATGAATATAGGATAGGGAACTGAGTGCGGAATAAGAATGGTAATCGTTTGTAGGACTATTGTCCGCAGCACGTCTCTTCCACGAGATCTCATTTTTCGAAAACAGAGCAAATCGTCGATGGACGTGGTAGCCTCCTTGCGACATGAATCATGCGGAGGTCGATCATACTCTCACGAACAGGAGGTGGTGCTTGTATGACACCTCAGTGGTGCCTGGATTCTGTACTGGATCTGACCACCGTCCAAGATAGCGAAACAAGTCGTGTATAGCGAGGATATTCTCAATAAAACCCTTTCTTCATATGGCTGGCAGATAATGAAGACTACCGCGGGCTACGAGCTGCTTGTCGAAAGGTTTAAAACCTGTGCTAAACTCGCTTTAGTTCTTCAAACAAGAACTGCGCACCCTATGTCCATTACCATTAACGAGTTGGTCGAAAAGAGAATTAAACTGAAACTTGATCCTAGTGCAACGAGCTTAACACAGCTAGTAATAAATGCCACTTGCAGAAGAGCATTGCAGGAAGATCTACATCGACAAAGAAGGAAGAAAGAAACGACAAAAAACCAGCTGAAGAAATGCTAGCGGATCTCGCATGAGTATAATGTCCCACTATCAGCTCTGATGCGCCGCGTATAGATTAGAAGCGCCCTACCATACACATGCGACCTTCTCCACGACCCAAGCTCATCAAGGCACTTATTCCTTCTGAGTCGGCAAATTGATACCAGACATGTTTGGAAGTATAGCAGCACTGGCTCGATACATCGGTAGGACATACATCGCGAGTAATTGTAAAAGCCAGATATGCATTCAGTCACGTCTAACGATGCTTAATGAAGTCGAATGCATGGAACATTCCTGAGAGATTGAGCTTCATCGTTTATCCTTTATCATCAACTCTGATAATCAGTTCGAGTTGTAGTGTAAAACATAAACAGAGGCACAGCTCCACGATTCGACAATATCAGCACCGATTTCCTTACAGCTGGTGGCCACAATTTACATCCAAATATCGCAACCGAAATGATATCTTACCTTCGGTAGGAGAGAATCCCATACCAGTGAGGAGCTTGCGCACGGTAATCTTACCCAAGAAGGGTGATCTAAGACCGTCAAATGTGCTTGTTGAATGTACTCTACAAACCGTTCACGAAAGTTATCTTTTTATGCACACCGAAGATCTTGGATGAGGCCCAACAAATTGAATAAACAAGATTCCCACACGGCTTGGTACATGGACCATATCCAAACTGTATCACGCACGGGTAACACAAGCCTATCGGGAGTACCATGTGCGCCTCTTAACAGTGGAGCAGACGCCAAAAAGGTGCAAGCGCTCTTTGGAAGATCACCCAAAGTATGGGTAGGCGCGCTCGTGTCTAATGTCAACCATCTGCATTCGCAGATGGAAATTGTTTTGAGAATTTGGAATGAACCTCGCCGACGTCGCCATTTTCGGAGCAAAACACCACTATGGACGACGACTGTGCGAAAGAAAAACGAATGCAGGTTATGCTGGGGTCCATACCACTAGTGAAGACGGGCCATCGAAATAGTCAAGTGTCGAAGTGTGTTTTTCAGAGGAAGACATCAAATCGATCAGCAGTGTATTGGCAGAAGTCCATCCTTCGACAAGTCACTTTTTGCTTGTATGAAATCACACCTAGCGGAATCAGTGTCTTGACGAAACTTCGAAGTCAATGCTTGCTAACGGAATTCTGAGTAGACTACATAAATCGTTTAAGTAGAATTTGAGCGACTTTCCAATGACGCTGGCATTCATGACCAAGTTGTTTTCTACTTTCGAAGTGTCCTTGATGATTTTTCTTTCTACCAGTGCCATCAGCAATCACCCATCATCGGGATTGATCTCTGAAACCCAAATCGATAATGAACCCAGATAAGCGGAGGCTGCAGTCGAAATCACAATGTCAACTTCTTTACTTTCTAGCCTTGATGATTCCGTAGACATGCATGCTTTGAAGAAGGCTAAATCACTGAAACATGAGCCATTGAAAATCAAAGACACTTGTTCCCAACGTCTTATCAGCTCATCAGGCATGGACAGTGAGAACACTCTTTTGTGAACCTTTAGTACTTTTGTACAAGTATTTTTTTAGAGTTGTACAAGCTCAATATTGGCATGATCCTCTGCACGAAGAGGAATACAAAAAGGGGAGCATATTTCTTGCTGACATCAATAACGAACGGGTAAGTCAGAGATATTTATGGGAGAGAATCTGAGCCGATAAGGGAAAATTCTTGCACTTTGTTAATCGTAAACTGAATGTTGGCATTTCAGGCGATCAATCCGGACTACAGGAAGAATTTGCTGAAACTCAAGAATATGTTGCTCATTATGTTCGAGCAGGACGAGATGGTTGTGCCAAAGGAGTCATCGGTATTTTTTCTGCCATTAAATGTTTTTAAACACATTTGTCTACTCGTGATCGCTGACACTGTGCTGATAACGCTGGTACCCGCCGTACCGTCTGTTATCATCGGCGAGCGCTTTCATCACATTGCAATAACAGTAGAAGACGCTGATCCAAGCCAAGGGATAGTCAAGGTTTTGGTGCAGCTTCCCCTATTTTGAAAAATTTCGAGGCTCTGAAAAACGAGGGTTAACTTTTTCTTATTTGATAATGTAGGTGGTGAGCATGTTTGTGAGAATCAGAAGGAAACGGATAGAGCGCGGAAGATACATGCGAGCTGGCAATGTGCCGTTCTTTCCAGTCTAGTTCACGAATATGTGAACTCAAATCTGAAAGGCACTGTGTGTGTACTGCCAGTTATACAGTTTTGTAAAAAATGCACAAACAAAAATAACGACAATGTGATCCATTTGCGTTCCCCTCAATTGTCGAGTAACACTCGAGTCAGTACCACTCTCTTCTCGTTCATTTTATAGGCCAGTGGTACCCAGTGAGACTAGACTCCTCCAAGGAAACAAATACCCATTCAATAACATAGAGATACAGAATCAATCTATTGTCTATATCGACAATACTTGGTCGTGCAAAAAATAATGGGCAGTAGATAAAAGTTATACATTCTGCTTTCGGCAATGTTTTACACTATTTTCTAAGACCATGTTTTTTTTTTACCTTTGCGAGAATGGGATTACCTACTGGAGCCTTCTATAGGTCTTTCATGTAAGTTCAAAACAACTTGTATGTAATGCTGAGATATTGGCAAAACTCCGGACCGCGGGTGTATGCGGTGGGGAACGAACACGCGCTGTTGTCCTTACTGGGTAGCAGCGCACTTCACCACCACACCATCCAGAAACCGACCGTCATTTAAACTCGGTATTAATAACTAATACCTTTTTTGATAATTAATCTAACACGAGGTTGATAAAAAGGTTTACTGGGTTATCGTTTCGACGTCTTCGTCTTCCTCAGAGCCAATGAAGTCGTCGAAATGTCGGCCCTTTTTTTAATAACACAGAACAGCTTTCCTACACTTCTTGTAATCTATCGGTAGCTTGTAGAACACAGATTTTGTATTGGGTGCTGGTCAGGAAACGCTCTATTGATCACTTAGCAATATACAGATAAATCGTTTTTCGAACGAGTTTGTTGACGTAGGTGGCAATCGATTACTAATTAAAATCTAGTTGATATATTGAGTCACAGTTATCGTGTAAAGTGTGCGGCTATAGAAAAAAAGTGGTGAAATAGGACTGCACAAATAGAAAAAACTTTCTAAAGCTGACAATAATGCTCCAAATGTTTTTGCACGATGGAGCACAGTATCGCATAGTAAATAGCGTCGTACATATCTTCATGCCCGTACAACGATAGAGCATGGTCTCTTCTTCAATCATGCTATGTTGACAACCCTTAAAGTCTTATAATTTTCGGAAAATTATTGTTTATTTTTAAAAAATCAAGTCCATAAAGGCTGATAAATAGGCGCCACCCGTTGCGGCAGAAAAGCGAGATTCTCTAAAGCTCTAAGCCGTTAAAGCTCTAAAAGAACTTTCGGCGTTAATCAATCCCTGAGGGATATACCATGCATTTGACTTCATTAAGTATCGTTGGAGGTGATTGAAAGCATATCTGGCTATTACAATGACTCGCGGTGGCCTACCGATGCATCGAGCCAGTGCTGCTATCCTCCAGACAAGTCTGGTAGCACTTTGCCAACTCCAGAGCGATGGAAGGCTTGGTGAGCCATGTGCGCCTGGAGGCGTCGTCGTTAGAAGCTTAAATGAAACTAAATGTGCAGCTCACAATAACGTCATCGGTAGTATTCTAGGGCGTAATCCAGCTATCCAACGGCAACTAACTTTTTCGTTATATTGACCGTGTTAGTCTGGTCATTAGTCTAGCACAGAATTTTGAGGCTTGGTTTCTCAGGTGAAATCGATTGAGATCGATTTCAGTATAGAGCAAGCTCATCTTCTAGTAAACACAGGGGTTCGGAACGATTGGCAGTCACTAGAAGAAAACAAATGATCGGATGATTTTATAACGAATGGATGTATTATGTTTTGTTAGACTTTACTTCTTTAGTAATTAATGGAAGAAACTGGAGCAAGAAGTTACATTTTTTACTAAGTTCTTGTATACAAAGTGAACTTTCTCAAATTTTGCAGGTTCATCAATTTTCTTAGTGAACTATTTTCTACATAGTTTACTGATTTAGTGACTTATTGAAACTAAATTTACTCAAGTGTGATTCGCTTGAGTATGGATAATTTTTCCCGCCATGACTAGTCGGCATGGCGCCATTGTGTTTGCGAATTTTGTTCCTACAATTTCTCATAGGTAAAATATTCGAAAAATAGTTAGCAGAGCTTGATTTTTGGACCCAATTGTTATTTAAATTGCCATATTTTGTAAGGTGCTGTTTTCTCTCAGTCACTTGGTGAAACTACTTTCAGTGGTTTGGTTTTTATAAAGAGGGTCACTTGGACGTCATTCTATCGATGAACCAGACGAAGCTCTATGAAGAGGTGATTGTTTTTGATTATTGTTAGATCATTGCTGGCGTGTTTTGCTTTTCGACAGATGGATATGCACATGCTGTCGTCCATTTCTTCAAGGATAAAGCTTTCACACAGTTTCTCAGAGGTCTGGTTTGCTTTGTAGCTGAAGCAAGAGACGATGCTGTAGAAATGGAACGGAATAAATAGACGATAAAACGACCAATTGTTTAGTTTCAAGCACTTTCGCATTCGTTTCATTGTCTTGAAACCATTGGCCATCAAACGTAGTGAGGTTCAAGTGTGAGTTCGGCTGTAGTTTGAAAACATGCGGTAGTTCGTTATTCATTAACATGCTCAATGCTTATGGGGTGTGACCATCGCTGGAAAATCGAGGTAATTCTTTCAGGGCGTTATTAGTTCATTACTGCTATCCGTTTCCTGACTTTGTGGATCTCAGAGTCTGTCGTTCTCTTATTGCCTTGTCATTCTTCTAAGAACAAACGGATTTTGCGATTCGTCGAGTTACCACTCAGCAAGAAGTAACCTTCTAACTCATGGCGGGAATATGTGTGTAAGTGGAAAGAAAAATATCTCGCAGAGAAGGGAATCTATTTAAATATGTAAAAACGCTTTTAGAAGATAATGGTTACGCGTATTCTATTCACTACTCATCCCGATCTTTATCGAACTCTATGAAGTTAATGCGTTTCAGGATCGCATAGGCCTAAAAAAGTTGAATGAAACCGGGCGGCTACATTTTCTTGGAGTGAAGGGCAATCATCTTAAAATTGGACGCGAAGTGTTTGTAAAAGAAGTTATTGACAAGTTCTTAAAATAAATTTGTTATTTCACTTGACTGCTGACTGCATTAAAACGTAGGACAGAAGGATGATAGGTGCAAGTTGACTGGTGTACACGAGTTTCCGATAACGGCCGAGAAATCTTCGACAATTAAAATATTTGAGAATATGAGAACTCATAGAGTCTTCAGCCTATAACTCCAATACTATCTATAGCCACAATCTTAACCTTTTTATTTACTGCCGATACTTTTTAATGGCAGGGTATATTGCGAAATATAACTTCTACAATGGGATTCTCAGATCAATCCCGTTGACGGGTAATTGCTGATGGCAAGTGATCGATAGAACTAGCCGAAAGACAGGCGAAACGAGGGACCAGCATGGTGTGGTGGTGAACACGTTACTCCCCGGAAGGGATAATAGCGCGTTCGTTCTCCACTGCAGACACCTGCGGTCCGGAGTTTTGCAAATATCTCAACATTATAGAAGTTACTATCTATAGTTTCTTTTGTCTAGAATATGTTTGAAATACGCTCAAGACAATAAAGTAGAAAAGTTTGTACCTGGTTGCCAAAGAATAGATTGTAGTGGCTTCACTCCAGTTTATAAAATCTACGGTAATCCGTTTGTTTGACATTCAAAAGGATAGTGCTGGTTTACAACATTGCAAGAGCTTTAAAATTACTGTGCATTGAAGAAGATGCGGTATCTCTTCTGAACTACTGATTAGCAATGAATTATTACTGGTTACACTGCAAGAAAGGCAAAAAAGAGTCTAAAAAATTTAAAGAAGAATGAACATGGAAGGAGATAAGAGTTTCAGAGTTTCTGTCTAGAAATGTTTGCTTTGATTGCGGAGGACCAAGAAAGGAGTGTCAGCATTGGATCCATGCCAGTGACCAGCCACAGAATGACGCCGAGATCTCTTTGGCAACGGCGATCAGCGGACGGTCGGAGTTTGGCGAGCCGACTATCTGAACATGCTTTTGCTCATTAGTTTTGTTGATAGTGGTTTTTTTCTATACAAGGAATTCTTTGACACGAACTTTTCCGTTCATTCAAAACTGAGTTATGAAAACAGCAGAGTAATTTATATCTAAGGAATCTGTATTCAAAACGCACTTCAAAAAACTAGCAGTCTTGATGGAAGTTCTGAGCCTCAAGAATTGATTAGAAACAAAATTGTACTGTACCTGAACTCTGAGAGGCAACCCATGCGAGTTCAATCGCATGTGGCAATCACTAGTGAGCGAGGGCGTTGAAGATACCGGTGTAGGCGACGTTAAACGGTGTGAGGACGGTTTGGTGATGATATGGAGCAGTTTGTGGCCACCTTAACACCATAAAATGTTTTTAATACAACAATCAACCCATCGTTGCCCATCTCTACGATAGGCGATAGGGGAGCTACAACTGTGCACATCAAACGCCACGAAGAAATTGCGAATTCTTTCAGTTTTTTAAATTTTATTTTTTACTTTACCATTCTATATCACATATATCATATGACTTAACGCTTGTAGGTTTAGCTGCTGTTTGAGGAATTTCTCGTTTTTTTCGTGAATGTCTTTGAATACTGGTGGAGTGGAATCCTCCTGTAATCATGAGACATCCGTGGTAACGTATTCGCACGTTGGATAGAGAAAACGGACTTTTCTAAGACAAGTCTGGTACCAATTTCCCGACTCCAAAGGGATGAGAGGCTTGGTGGGCCTGTGCAGGAGCCGAACCAACCTTGTGCAGGTTGGGCGTAATGAACTGTATTACTACCATTGCTCAACCCGCTCCTATTCATTCAGTTTATAGACAAAATTTGGTAAACACGTGTGGTGGACGAATTCAACAGTGATTGCGACCAGAACGACCAGGAATAGTCAGTAGTGTGTAGCTCACCCTAACGTCTACGATCGTCTGTGGTGATCCAGTACGATGATGATCAGACATAATTTTGTCTACTAAGCGTGACTAAAAGTACCGAGCACTCGGCCTGTGATTCGGAGGTACCAAAAGCCTACAAATAATTGGAAAATGAAACCATGTGTGCAGCAGTAATGGGCTTCATAACATGAACGCCTTGATTAAGCTTGAATCAAAAGAGAAGCGTTTTCAATTGCGCACTAAACAGTTCATATATTTCGAACCTTTGTGAACCGTGGTGAAATTTCAAAGCGGTGGTCCTGGAGAGATTTTGTCATGGTGTGAACAAATACACTTAATTTCGGCAGCACAACAAGCTAACTTCCTAATGGAACTCTATGATATTTAGTAGATTTGAATGTTTGGCAAATCCCTAAAGATTATCCGAACACTTCAGAGCACACAATGAAGGTGAATATTTCCGAGAAAAACAAATATGAAGGAGAATTATTCCATCCTTAGCCACTCATTCTCATTTGAGCGATTTCCATCCTCGTAGTTGCAAGGCTACGTGAGGAGCCTGCTAGGAGTGGAGTGAAATTGAAATGAATCTTACGCACGAGTGAAATTAGGACCAGAGGCAACCATGCAATATGATACTCTGGTGAATTCAAAATATGGATTCTCTGTTTTTGCTGTGTCATGGCGGCCTTTAGCTTCCACATACGTAACTGATTAATAAGTAGTAAAGACTGCATTGTTAGAAGAGGAGAGTTTCTCCGTGATAACAGACCTCTCTGTGAGTACTGTAGAAGGAAGACCACTGCATCAGTATTACAAAGACACGTTTCATCAGCCGCTTCACAACGATCAATAGTACTCCTTCATTCCGTCGTTCCTCCAGGATGTGGCTTATTTATAACATTCAGTGAAATTCCCGACAGTGCACATGGGTTCAGCAGTATAACGAGCTCAGTTCAGCCTTATGATCCGCTATTAATTAACAGACCATTGTTGTGTTATCCTAATATCAACCATTTAGGAGATTTGCAATAAGGGTGATAAATATCCTTCTGGAATGAGTACATTTAAGCTCAGATTAGAATTTAATCAAACCTTGTTAGGTTTCATTTCAATGAAAAGACTCGCAGTCTAACCGCTGATGAATAATGTAAGGCAAAAGACCAAGAAAGGAATCTCTGAGCAGGCAACTGATTCTAATTCTATAAAATGATTGCTTAAGAAGAGCAGGTCTAGAGGAATCGGTCGCGATAGTAGAAATACCACCTGATACTTTTCGTCGTCAATTAGTTCGTAATCGCCTGTATGACCGTCTGTGTGAAACACCAAATTTTGTAATTTTCCATTTTGGCAAGGACGGTGGTTGAATGAGTTCAGGTACGATATACCTGATCTCTTGTAGTGCTTGCGGAGGTGAATATATTGGCGAAACGGGCAGACCTTTACGTATCCGCATAAAAGAACACCAAGGGAAAAGCAAAGTTAAGTATCCCACTAGGACGCATAAGATACAAAAACAGCGGAGACGATTTTGATATAAAAGTCACTATTCTCGCACAGGCCCGCAAACACTAGCGCGCAAGCTTCTTTAGGCTTTTCGGATAAATGCCAAAAACCTACAATGAACAGCTGGGAAGAATGTAGACGGTATTTAGACGACTGCTTTGTCCTTTGCTCAACACAAGAGGAAATGGACAAATGCTTCGAATTGTTAAACGCACAGTCAGAGTATATCAAGTTCACCCGAGAAAAGCCGAAAGAAAAATGGATTCCATTTTTGAACGTACAAATTCACCTATCAGAAAATGGCTACATTACAAAGTGGTACCGAAAGCCAAGTAGTAAAAATATCTTGGTTCATCACCTCTCCTCTCACCCCTCTCACACGAAAAGGGCGCTTATAAGAAACATGTTTCGAACAGCAACCAACGTGTGCACGGGAAGAGAGCAGAGAGAGGAGTCCCGGAACTTGGCACGGAAAATAGACATTTTTAATGGCTACGAAACTAGCTCAGGATAGGTGTAGAGGAAATCGTAGGCCTCCAAACGACAACTCTAGCGATAGAAGGGTCCCGTTTATCCTACCCTTCATCTCAAATGATATAAGTACAGCTATAAAACGCTGCTTAAGAAGGGCGGGTCTAGAGAATTCGGTAAACGTAGTTGAAATGCCACCGAGTAATCTTAGGCGCCAGGTAGTTCGTAACCGACTATATGACCGTTTATGTGCAACGCAAAATTGCATAATTTGCCCCAATGGTAAAGACGGTGATTGCATGAGCTCGGGTATAGTTTATCTGATCTCCTGTAAGGCCTGCGGAGACGAATACATTGGCGAAACGGGCAGACTCCTCTGTGTCCGCATAAAAGAACACCTAGCCGGCAAAAATAGACCAAATACCCCGCTAGGCACGCATGGGACCCAGAGACATAACGGGGACGACTTCGAAGTATGTGTCACGATCCTCGCACGCGAATCAAGAACACAGGCGCGAAAAACTCTTGAGGCACTCTGGATTAATTCCAGAAATCCGAAAATGAACCGCAGGGAAGAATGCCTCATTATCACGCGTGATATAGGGCAGTGTATAAAACTGCTTTTCTGATGTGAGGGGCACATTATACTTCCACGTGATTTCTGTGCGGTTGGTCTCTACGTGACATACTTAGTGGAGACCTCATAGAAGTGTGCAAAGCTGTGTTCAAAGTGATTGAAATCTTGGTTTGGAGTTTCTTTGTTTGGTTATGGAGGCGTCTGGCCGAGTGAGTTGCTATCAACTTGACCTTTCCAGGCTCTGAAGAAGGCGAAATTCGCCGAAACGTCAGCTTATTCGTGAATAAAGAACAATAACACCTCGCGTTTGCTCAACAAAAATACGAAGAAAATCAGCTGGGAAGAATGTCCCGAGATCACTCGTGATCTTGCCCCATGTCTTCGCATCGATCGTTGATGTGGGGAGGTGCAGTCGTCAACCATATGCGACTCTGATCAGCGGCTCTTCCTCAGCGGAAGGAACGTAAAAGCGGCTCTGATGAGGGCGATTCTGCCGAAATGTCAGCTACAATTGTGTTGTATGTGTGTTATTGTATCGAAGTAAACGTATGTTGTTTAACAACCTCACGATCGTTTTGAGAGAAAACGACGAATTCATAATCC